CAAACTAGGAGAGACCCTAGTTCCAACAAGACATCGCAGCCCGACATTTGGGGCTTTGGTTCAGTTTGCAACCCGGCAAGTGACAAAAAAAACACGTGACCCAGTTTCTTTTCGGAGAGCGAGCCCTTCAAAATCAACCAGAGAGGCAAGTCTTTCTCCCGGATTGCGCATCCAAAGATCTGACTCTCCATGTTGTAGCCACCGAGCCTCAAGCACGTGCCCGGTTTTCAGGAAAGCCATGCGGTTTTGGTGAGCCCCATACCTCCAAGAGGCATGGAGGCCTGCAATTTGCCATGTCCAGGCCACACCAAGCCACAAGACCCCCCCAGCCATCAAGGCGTGGTTAGCCTTTTAACTCTGACCCTGACCCTTGGATCCCCGAAGCATTGAGAGCTGCAGGTGTCTCTTCAAGTTCAATCCCTTTAGCCCTCTCCAGCGGCTGAGGTAAAGGTTTTGTCCGCGAAGCTGTTGCATTCTTGCTTTGGGTGGCTAAGTCGCTCCGTTTATTCCTTTGGGGCCTCTTTCAAAGACATGCTACCTTGGTAAGGTTCAATAGACACGGACCAAATCAAAAAGTCATGTTTGGTTGGTAGAATCAAGGATTATACAGTTTCCCTCCAAACATCCAGGACGAACCCTTGATTATTTAGGTTCACTAGTTACTTTGCATGTTCACTTTATTTAGGTCTCAAGGTTCTCTGTTATGTTGCCAATATCGGACATTTTTTGGCTTGGGGCAAGGTGGTTTTGCAGCTGAGGCAAAACTGGGTATGGGTCCAAGTCAAACCACCAGGGGACCGTTGGTTTTACTCCATGTTTACATCTACCAGGGCAAGCCAGGTTTGGGTACATAGTTTTGACCTACAGCCAAATTGAATGGCAGAATCAAACGAATATGGCCTTGAATTTTAACCGACCACCTGAAAAGCTCTTGGATGTCCACAGGGTCCCATATATTAAAATTCATACCAAGACCATACCCATATTTTGTCCATTTGCCCGTGCAAGCCACTTTTGGTACATGTTTTGGAGCCGCCAAGTTGTTTCACGGCATCCAACGAATATGGCCTTGAATTTTAACAGGGAACCACCTCAAAAGTCAACATGAATCCCCGAATTTGTTTTTTTTGCTGCTGCTCCAGGCAGCGGCTGCGGCTGGTGGAGCAGCAGAGCGGCGCCCAGCTGGCGCTGGACTTCGGCTTCGTCGGTTCGTTGGGTTCGGGAAGAAACAAATCGGGGCGGACAGGTTCCGCCCTTGAGTAGTTGTTTCCCGGTGTGGAAGGGCTCAAACTTATCTTCGTTTAAAAAAATAAAATCAAAAAAAAAGCAAAAACGAGACACGGCAGTCTGTTCTCTCCTAGGTCGGCCAGCTAGGTGCCAACTGTTACCCTTTCTTTTTGGGGGGAAATTCGGTTCTCCTACTAAAATAGACAAACAAGAAAAAAAGGTTGGTACCAACTTATTCTAACCTCTCTACTGGAGGACCTAGAAGAGTAGTCTCCTACTTCTCTCTGTTGCTCAGTGGATGCCGCTCGGTTTTCCCCTTTTTTGGGTAAGGGTTCCAATTCCTTTAAACTCAACCCACCAAAACAGGGTGCCTCTTTTTTCCCATGGAAATCCACTGCGCGTCTGAGCTTCTGTGACATCAGGAAACAAATCCCCCTTTAAAGGGTTTTTGGCATGTTCTCCCCTGTACCAGGAGTTTGATCCTGAGAGGGTGTTTTTTTGTTGACCCATACCAGGAAACCTCCCCTTTACAGGTTTTTTTTTGAGGGAGGGTTGTGGATCAGGGTTTGGATCAGGGTGGCTTGTGTCCCACTTCTGTGATCGGAAATCGCAGTTTCACGGATTTTGGGCGGGGATGCTCCCACTTGGCCTTTGAGCAACCCAGCAGTTTCATTGGAAGTTACCTGTAAATCCTTGTTCCTGTGGAGCTGGCTTGGACGTGGCAGTGGAGAAGAGCGAGGAGAATTTGGTTTAGGCCTCCCAGTACCGCAGAACTGGATACTTCCCAGCCTGGTTGGGCCGTCGAGAGGATTTCCTTCAAGTGAGCCACGCCATAAATAGCTGCGGAAATCCGCCTTCTTAGTTCTTTACATGCTTCGCCGACCATGTTTGTACCGGGTGTTGATTGTGACTCAACTAAGTGGTTTTTGGATGTGCCCTTTAAAAATGGTGGCGCCGGCCAACTGTTGGGTGAACCTGTTGACCAATTTGAATCCTAAGCTTCAACAACCTGAGTTCGTGAATCCCCTAGTAAGGGGGGGCAAAGTCCCTTAGTCGGCTGCTTTGGAACAGAGAGGCCCCATGGATCCTAGTAGACTAGCATCGGAGGATGCTCCAGCAAAAGATCCCCTCTTATGAAACAACCAGGATTGATTAGCAAGGGTTATGTGAAGCCAGTTGCGCACAGTTTTTGGGCATGTTGTAGTACGTACATGAATTGACTTAGCAGGGTTAGAAAATAAAGACAGCTTTCATACTTGGTAGATCTGGTGAGTTTTACATGTATCCCTTAGGCTGTTCCTTCTCCAAACATCCACCGCCCCATGCGTAGCTACTCATAGCCTGCCACCAATCCGCATTTCATCGATCTGTTTGGGCAAGCTAAATCATGGTGGCCTCGCAAAGGGATTTGCTTTCCGACTTCGCTAATGGTCAAGGCTTCTCTCTTGACAGTCCCTTATTGCAGATGAGGAAAATGTCAAAGTTCACCCAACAAATTCTCCTCGCTCGCAGGACCACGTGTGGAACGTCCTCCACATCTCCGGATCGCCGGCAAGCATTTGGGAGGCTAGAAAGCTAGGGGCGGCGGACGGCCTAGATATTGCAAGTCGGGGAAGCAGCAACATGTGGGGGTTGATCAATATTCCTAGCCCCCAAATGACCATGGGAATTTGTGGGAAATATCATATTTGTGGTTTTCTCCAATGGTCATCCCATGTAAAGCACCTCTGGATCAATTCCCACGTGCATATTGCCGCAATTCACAAGGTGCTGCGGGTGGAATGTGGTTGGCGCACTTACGATTTCTTGCGTGTGAACAGCCTGTCGCAATCAAGCAGCGCAAATCTTCTGCGGGGACTCGTGTTCCACCAAAGGGTCTCTACTTGCAACAAATGCCCAGGCGGAGGTGAAATCTTATCTAGATGCGTGTGGGAGGCCAAGGCAAGCGCGGTATAGCCATACCCCAGAAAGGCTCTCCACGATCAATCTTTCAGAGCCCCTCGTAAGGGGCACGGCTGGGGCAGAGGGGTTCAAAGGCAAGCCTAGGAGTTCGGGTTGGCCAACTAGGTCTCCCAGTGCCCTTTGACCAACTTTTTTGGTTCAGGGTTCCCCTACTAAAATAGGCTAATTACCGAAAAAAGTTGGTACCCTTATTCTAACCTCTCTACTGGAGGACCTACCCAAGCCTCTATCTCAAACAGCCCAGGCTAAGCGCCTAGAAGGTTCCTGGCTTCGAGGGTCCTTGCTTTGCCTTCTGCATAGAAGTGCAACCTGTTCAGCAGCAGGCTTTTTTTGATGAACTGCAAATGTGTGGATTGCGCGAAGAAAAGTGTGTCTCAAGAAGAAAAGGCCTTCCCTCCCACCAGCTAACATGGGTCTGTGCAAAAGGCCCCTATAGAAAGAAGACGTTCCTCTTGGCCAGTTGGCCTTTTTGCACAAACCCATGTTAGTTGGTCTTCTGCATCGAAGTGCAACTAAGCAGGCGGCGTGAAACAAAAAAATGTTCCCCCAGGCGCAGCAGCAGCTGGAGGTCATGGAAGGCCCATAGGGCGGAGCGCGTGTCTTCCGCGCCAAGAACCCGAGAGACCGTCCCTCACACCGCGCTGCCTTCCCTTTTCAGCCGGTTTCAACATTTGTTTGTTTGGCAACTGGAGGCTTTCCCTCGTCTCTTTTCATGAGGCCATGTTTAAAAAAAGGAGAATCGGAAAGATGCTGTCACACCTACTGGCGTGCGGACAGCGTGCAGTGTGGACGTTCGGCATCAGTCCTGTGGCTGGAGAGCAATGTGTTTCTGCCCAGCAGCAAGCATGAGTTCTGCATTCCACCACAACCTGGCAAAGCGAGTGGTTTTCAGACAAGGCTTGAGGGACAGTACCAGTCAAGCAGGTTGCCCCTTGGAATTTCCTTCATTTCAGAGGATCCCATGATCCGAACGTCCGAAGTTTCGTCAAAGGGAACGGGCTCCCGGGCATTTACCCCACAGAATGCCGGCTGCGGTTTTTGGGTCCAAACTCTAAAGGAGGGGGCTAGAATTTTGGGGCGGGGCAAGGTGCCAGGGGAAGGTTTCAGGCTTTCGGGCCATTCCTTGAAAACTCGTCCAGGTGATTCTTAGGGACAATGCCCAAAACTTTGGGCCTCACTTCCTGAGTTCATTGAACTTTAAACGTTTTGGGAAGACCATTTTAGTGGTAAGCAACAAGTTTTGACTTTTTTTGGGCCATCCACTCAGCCAGTGAGGGGCACGCTTGGGCCAATGTGCTCAGCGAATTGGCTCCTCTGAATTCTCGGAGAATCTGGTATAGTTCAAGGTTGGCAAAAAGGGAAACAGAATCAGACCCTATTTTCTTGCAGTACCCATGGGCGTTAGGGTTTTTGTGGTTTCATTTTACAAGCGTTTGGCCAAGGTTTGGTCAACTCTGGCCATTTAGCCCACTAAAAGTTCAGCTTTTAGCAGGGGGTCGGAAAAGGCAGCCCCAGTGATTCTCATTTGGCATCAGAGTCAAGTCCGAAGGCTTCACGGTGGACATCTCCTGCGCCATGTGGACCGAGCTGATGCGCGGCCGGGGGAATGAGGCGAGAGCCGTCTTTTTCGGGCTCCTCGAAAACCACAAATAGGTCCCCCAGCATTGCCCTTTTACCTTTTGTTGGGGGAGGGTTCCCCTACTAAAATAGACAAAAAAAAGTTGGTACCCTTATTCTAGCCGAAGCCACGTGTCCAGTTGCCATCTGCCAATTGACCATAGTTGTCTTTCTTTTTTTTCCTGGTTTCCGAG